CAAAGACTTGGAATCAACCCAAATGTCCATCAGTGACAGATTGGATTAAGAAAATGTGGCACATATACACCATGGAATACTATGCAGCCATAAAAAAGGCACACATTTTTTAAATAGCACTTTCCGTGTGCTTACTTGATTTACTCTGATAGACCTCCATATTATCTTGCCAATGCTTATGGAATAATGTCTAGACCCCCGATTCCAGCATTCAGGGCTTTTCACACTGTGGCCACAATCCGTTGACCCAACCTAACAGGAAGTGAGGTTTTCCATATCTGTCTTTGTTAACACTGCTCCATTTGTAATGGCCTTCCCTGACACTTTCATCTTTCCAGATTCTTTTCCTCTATCAATTCCAATTCAAGTAATACATTTTTCATTCAGATGTCTGTTATAACTCAGGAACAAGATCCATGCCCTCCCCCATTTAGCCAGTTGACTGGAGCTTCACAAAATTGGTCTCAGAAAGCCTTTTAAAACTCTGAAAACACTTAAAGAAAAGCAAAATTATAATAACTGTCAGGCAGTACACTAAAAGCTTTCATGCTGGTAAATATATTTATTTCTTGTGAAACATGCTAGAGGATTATTTTGAGACAATTTTGTTTTATTTTACAGGTGTTGCTATATACACTGGAATGGAAACTAAGATGGCATTAAATTACAAGAGCAAATCACAGAAACGATCTGCAGTAGAAAAGTAAGAAAACTGTTTTCATTTATTTATATGTAATTATAACTATACATTTTTTATTCATTTGGTATAAAATATTTATATAAAAATATATATATTAAGTAAACAGGACGATAACCTTGGGGACAGTGATCGTTTCTTATATTTTTACATACAAGTAACATTTTGCACAGTATTGAGCATATAGTAGGTGCTCTATAGTATGACTTTTAAAATAAATACTATTGAATAAATGGTGGAAACACTTAATCAGACTAATGCTTCTGCAGATTACAGTTCTAAAACTGAAAAAAAAAAATTTTAAATAAACAACTATTTGAAAACATTGGAGACAAACCTGAATCAAATAGAAATGGGCAGGGAGTGTAATCCTGAAAGATGATAGCAGCAAGGGGGAAAATTTTAGAGTGTAGCTTTTTGCCTGAGGACACTCCCCAGTTTATGTGCTGCTTGGAACATCAAAAAGTCTGAACTTTACTGGATAGAAGTATCAGAGGACAAGGTTAATAGCTAGCTGGAAGAGCAGCTGGGAAGTTAGGGGAAAATAATGTAAGGGGATTAGCATTAATTCCCTTCTGTAAGCAATGAGAAGTAAGCTACAGAAGGGAATTAACTCTAAAAACTGCACATAAATTCTGCCCAAGTCCTTGGCTGACTGCTAGAACTATGCATGTGCAAGGGAGACAAAGAACTCAACAGAGAATTTTACTGCTGCTCATTGCATTGGAGATACAGTTTGTTGAACCAGGTGAAATTAACTGCCTACTGGAATAAAAATTAGCACTCTTCTGAGGAACATAAAAGAATACAGACTGTCTAGAATGTATTATTTATAAAGTCCAGTCTGCAATAAAAAATAAGCAGAAGGTGAAGAAAATGTATTTCATCCATAAGAGAAAAAGCACTCAATAGAAACTCTCCAAAATGATCCAGATCTTGCGTTTAGCAGACAAGAACTTTAAAGCAGATACTATAAATTTATTATAAATATGTTCAAGGGCCTAAAGGAAAATTTGAATGAACATATGGGAAAACTCAGCGGATAAATGAAAACTCTTGACTTGAAAAACATAATTACTAAAATGGAAACATCATTAGGTGGGCTCAACACCAGACTGAATCAGTCAGACCAGTGAACTTGAAGAAAACACAAATTATTCAGTCGAAAAATGGAGAGGAAAAAATATTACGAAAAATGAACAGAGCTTCAGAGCCATGTGGGATAATATTAAGCTGTTTGGCATATGTGTAATTGATTCCCAAATAAAGAGAAAAAAGGACAGAATAAAAATATTTGAAACAATAATGTCTGAAAATTTCTAAAATTTGAGGAAAAAGTTTCAGCCTACACTACAAAGATCAGTAAACTCTAAGCAGGAAAAATGCAAAGAAAACCACCCCAAAGCACATGACAGTCGAAATACCAGAATCCAGAGAAAAAGAAAGTTTCAAGGAGCCAAAGAGAAATGCCTCACATGTAAGTGAATAACAATATGAGTGGTAACCGGTTCTTATCAGAAACAACAGAGGACACTGGGGAAAGGACATCCTCTTCAGTAAGTGGTGCTAGGAAAATTGGATAGCTACATGCAGAAGAATGAAACTGGATCCCTGTCTTTCACCAAAGAAATAATCAACTCAAGGCTCAGTGCAGTGGCTCATACCTGTAATCCCAGCACTTTGGGAAACCAAGACAGGAGGATCACTTGAGGTCAGGAGTTCAAGACCAGCCTGGCCAACATGGTGAAACTTTGTCTCTACTAAAAATACAAAAATCAGCCAAGTATGGTGGCGTGTGCCTGTAGTCCCAGCTACTCAGGAGGCTGAGGCAGGAGAATTGCTTGAACCCAGGAGGCAGAGGTTGCAGTGAGCTGAGATCATGCCATGCACTCCAGCCTGGGCAACAGAGCGCGAGACTCCATCTCAAAAACAAAACAAAAAACAAAAGTGTATCAAAACCACAATGAGATGTCATCTTGCCAGCCAGAATGGCTATTATTAAAAAGACAAAAATTAAAAAATAAACAATAGATGCTGGCAAGGATATGGAGAAAAGGAAACTCTTATATGTGTTGGTGGGCATGTAAGTTAGGCTAGCCACTGTGGAAAACAGTCTGGAGATGTCTCCGAAAACTAAAAACATAATTACCATGTGGTCCAACAATCCCACTACTGGGTTTTATCCAAAGGAAGAGAAATCAGTATATCAAAGGAATATCTGCACTTGCATGTTTATTGCAGCACTATTCATAATAACACAGGATTCAATCTAACAGTTCATCAGCAGATGGATGGATAAAAAAATGTATACATACCTACACAATGGAATACTGTTTGGCCGTAAGAAGAATGAAATCGTGTCATTAGCAGCAACATGGATGTAACTGAAGATCATTATGTTAAGTGATGCAAGCAAGCACAGAAAGACACTTCATTCATGGCACACACCTGTAATCCCAGCACCTTGGGAGGCCGAGGTGGGCGGATCACTTGAGGTCAGGAGTTCAAGACCAACCTGGCCAACATGGCAAAACCGTCTCTACTAAATATGCAAAATTAGCTGGGTGTGGTGGTGTGCGCCTGTAGTTCCAGCTGCTTGGGAGGCTGAGGCAGGAGAATTGCTTGAACCCAGGAGGCTGAGGTTACAGTGAGGCGAGATCGCAACACTGAACTCCAGCCTGGGTGACAGAGCGAGACTCCATCTCAAAAAATAAAAAAAGACACTTTATTCATGTTTTTCAAAGAACCAACTTTTGGCTTTAATTTTGTGTATTTTTTTTCTGTTTTCCATTGGCTTCAGCTCACATCTTCTTAATTTCCTCTGTTTCTTCTCAGGTTGGGTCTCATTGTTCCTCTTTAACTTCTTATGGTGCCAGATGAACTCAAATGATTAATTTTAAGCTTTCTTTTTCTCTTGTATAAACAGAGCACAAAAGATGATGAGGGGCTGTAAATGAACTGTTACAAAGGTCCTACATTTTACATGAAGTAATACAGTAGCATCTATAAATAAATTACAATAAGGTGAAGATGCATATTCTCATCTCTGGAGCTTCCATTAAAAACAATAAGGCAAGGATTTATAGGTAGTAAGTTAGAGCAACTGAATATTAAAATGTTTGATAAACACCGTAAACAGCTAGAAAGGAAGAACAGCGAAACAGAAAACCAAATGACACAAATAGAAAACAAATAGCAAAATGGTGGTCCTAAATTTGACCAAAAATTACATGAAATGTAAATGCATGAAACAGTCTAATGAAGTCAGAGATTGTCAGATTGGATAAAAGAGCCAGACCCAACTACATGCTGCCTAGAAGAAATATAGTTTACATATAAAGATATAAATAGGTTGACATCAAAAGATATACTGTGTATATTGTAAGCCTATGAAAACTGAAAACCAGAATAGTTCCATAATTATACGTGGAAAGTTCATCTAGAGAGATCATATGATGTGCCATAAAACAAATCCCAAAAGACTGAAATCATACAAAGTGTGTTCTTTGACAATGAGGGAATTGGATTAAAAATCAATAACAAAATCTGCAAATATTTTGAAATTAAAAAACAACTCTCTTAACTGACTCACGGGTCAAAGGAGAAGTCACAAAGGAAATTTAAATTTCTTCAAATAGGATGGTAATTTAAACCCAACATACCTACATTTGCAGACTCAAGGAAAAGCCCAGCAGCTTAGAGGGAAATTTCTAGCTATAAAGTTGATAAATTCCTGCTGAGATTAACTGATTAAGCAAAAGAGAAGTGGCATAAGAGAAGAAAAGTAAAAAATTACCAATGTCAGGGATGAAAGAGGGGATAGCTCCATAGAGCCTACACATATCCAAGGATAATAAGGAACTATTAGGAACAACTTTATGTCACTGACTTTTACAACTTAGATGAAATGGGCAGATTCTTTGAAAACACAGGTAACTTACCAAATTGGCACAGGATGAAATAAAGTCTAAATAACCATAAGTCTGTCAAATAGCTTTAAGTTATTATTTTAAAAAGTCTGCACACTAAAGCTCTGCCTTTTCAACACATGGTGCTAGAACAGCTGGACGTCTGTATGTCAAAAATTGAATCTTCACCCTTACCCGTCTCCCACATACGCAAAAACTAACCCAAAGTGTAAGGTCTAAGCATAATAACTAAATCTGTAAAACATGGGAGAAAATCTTTGTGACCTTGGGTTAAGTAAAGATTTCTTAGATGGGAAATGTATGAAAAAGGAACCATGAAAATTGACAGCTTAAACTTCATCGAAATGCACTTAAAAAGGCACTGTTTATGTTATGAAGATGCCAGAAACTAAAATAAAAAATTTAAAAAGACAAGCCATAGATCAGAGAAAATGTCTGCAAAGCACATATCTTGTAAAGGACTTGTACCTAGAGTATCCAATCTCACTACTTTTTAACATTATTCTGGAAGCCTTATGCAGTGCAACAAGTTAAAGAATTTAAAAACCATAAGTACTAGAAAGCAAAAAGTAAAGTTGTCCTACTGGAAGACAATGATTTTTCATATAAACAGGCATAAGTATTCAACAAGAAAACTATAATAAGCAAGTTGGTCTCAGAATACAAGGTAAATAAAGAGAAATTTTTTTTTTTTTTTTTTTTGAGACAGAGTCTCAGTCTGTCACTAGGCTGGAGTGCAGTGGCGTGATCTCGGCTCACTGCAACCTCCGCCTCCTGGGTTCAAGCAGTTCTCTTGCCTCAGCCTCCGGAGTAGCTGGGACTACAGGTGCGTGCCACAACACCCAGCTAATTTTTGTATTTTTTAGTAGAGATGGGGTTTCACCATGTTCGCCAGGATAGTCTTGATCTCTTGACCTCGTGGTCTGCCTGCCTCGGCCTCCCAAAGTGCTGGGTTTACAGGCATGAGCCCGTGTGCCCGGCTGATAAATCATTTTTATATCTATATAATAGTAAGATACAGAAAATGAAATTTTAAAAAGTTATTTTTATAGTAGTGTCAAAAAGCATAATATATTTAGGAATAAGTTTTTTTTTTTAACTTGTGCAAGATTTCTATAATGAAAATTACAAAATGTGGCAAGAGAAATTAAGACCTAAATAAATGGAGAAATCACATTAATAGATTGTCAAGCTCAGTATTGTTAAGCTATCAATTACTGTATAGATTCCCTTAGTCTCAAAATCACAGCAATCTTTTTGTAGTAATTGACAAGGTAATACTAAAGTGTATATTGAAATGCAATAGCCAAAGTGCATATTCAGATGCACAGCAAAAACAGTCTCTTTAAGAAAGCTAAAAGATTTACCTTACCTGATTTAATACTTAATATAAAGCTACAGTAATTACAGTGTGGTATTAACATAGAATAAAATAGAGAGTTGAGAAGTAGACCATTCATGTGTGGGTTTGTTGATTTTCAACCAAGCAACAAGTCAATTCAATAAAAAAGTTAGTATTTTCTACAAATGATGCAGCAGTTGGATATTCAAATGAGAAAAACATGAAACTTAGCTTCTACCTTATGCTGTACTCCAAAAAGTTTTGAAAATGAGTCATAGACCTAAATATAAAAGCTAAAATTATAAAACTTTTAGAAGAGCCAGGCATGGTGGCTCAGGCCAGTAATCCCAGCACTTTGGGAGGCCGAGACAGGCAGATCACCTGAGGTCGGGAGTTCGAGACCATCCTGACCAACATGGAGAAACCCTGTCTGTACTAAAAATGCAAAAATTAGCTGGGCATGGTGGCAAATGCTTGTAATCCCAGATACTTGGTAGGCTGAGGCAGGAGAATCACTTGAACCCTGGAGTCAGAGGTTATGGTGAGCCGAGATCATGCCATTGCACTCCAGCCTGGGCAACAAGAGCAAAACTCCGTCTAAAACAACAAAACAAAACAAAAAACACTTTTAGAAGAAAACTTAGAAAGATATCTTTATGACTTAGAGTAGGTAAAGATTTCTTAGGATACAACAAATATAATAAAAAATTGATAAATTAGACTTTCTCAAAATTAAAAACTTCTGCTCATCAGGCTAAACATTTAAAGAAATGAACCTGCACATTACGAACTGGGAGACAATATTTGAAAACATATCTGACCAAAGACTTGTATCCTGAGTATATAATGATACATACGTCATTTGTGTACACACACACAAACACACATACACAAAAAGCTGCCTACAAATCGACAATGAAAAGAGAAACAAGCCAATTTTAAAAATGGGGAAAAGGTGGAAGGTAGACACTTAAATGGCCAATAAGCACATAAAGAAGTATACAGCATCATTGCTCATGAGAGAAATGCAAATCAAAACTACAAGGAGATACAAATGCATGACTTACTAGAATGGTAAAAATTGAAAAGACTAAATGTTCCCAGTACTGGTAAAGATTTGAAACAACTGGAACTCTTCTAAATAATCCAAGGGTCAAAGAAGAAATCTTAAAGAAAATTTTAAAAAATACTTGGATATCAGTGAAAATACAGTATATCAAAATTTGTGGGCTACAGCTGAAGCAGTATAGGCATTTCTAGCACTAAATACTTACATTAGAACAGAAACATCAGTGGCAAAGGGAAATTAACATTTAAACCACAATGCCATTTACAGTTGCACCCCAAAGAAAGAACAACCTAGGTACACATCTAACAAAATACATACAAATCTTTATGCTGAAAATCACAAAACACTGAGGAAAGAAATCAAAGATCTAAATAAATGGAACAATATATCATGTTCATGGGTTGAAAGACTCAGTAAAGATGCCAGTTTTCCCAAATCGATTCATAGGTATAATGCAATTTCTATAAAAATCTCAGCAAGTTTTTTTGTAGAAGTAGAAAATTTATTCAGAAATTTAGATAGAAAAGCAAAGGAACAGTTTTGAAAATGAAAAAGTGGGAAGAGTTGCTATTGATGTTAAGTCTTACTATATAAGTGACAGTAATCAAGACAATTTGGTGTTGGTGAAAGAATAGGTACATAGATCAGTGTTACACAATAGAGAACCCCAGAAACAGACCAACACAAATAGGCCCAGTTGATTTTTGGCAACAACACAAAAGCAATACAATAGAGGAAGGATAATCTTTTTCAACAAATGGTGCTAGAACAATTGGATATCCATAGCAAAACAAATCCAAACCCCCACTGTGTGTAAAAATTAATTCAACTGAAGCATAGATTTAATGTAAAACATTAAGCTATAAAACTTTTAGAAGAAAACAGAATCTTCAGGACCTAGTGTTAGACAAAGAGCTAGAAGACATGACACTGAAAGTGTAATTCCTCAATCAAAAAAATTAATAAGTTGTAGTTAATCAAAGGTAAACACTTTGGTGCTGTGAAAAACCCTCTTAAAAGGATGAAAAGACAAGCTACAGACTGGGGAAAAATATTTGCAAACCACAAATCTTTCAGAGGCTTTACGTTTGGAAACATAAAGAGCTCTGAAACTCAACAGTAATTCAGTGATCCAATTAGAAAATGAGCAAAAGACGTATTTCATATTTCACCAAATGCATAATACATATTTCACCAGAGAAAAGCTGCAGATGACAAGCACATGAAAAGATACTCAGCATCATTACCTATTTGAGAAAAGCAAATTAGAACCACATTGGGATATCACCACCCATTAGAATAGTTAAAATAAAAATAGTGATAAATACTAAATGGCTAGGAGGTGGAGAGACTGAATCTCTTATATGTTGTTGGTGGGAATTAAAAATAGTAAACCCACTCTGGAAGGTAGTTTGGAAGTTTCTTATAAAACTAAATGTGTTTACCGTATGACCCAGCTGTTGCACTCTTGGGCATTTAACTCAGATAAATGAATTTTATGCTGTCACAAAAACTCAAGCAGAAATGTTCATAGCCACTTTATTTGTTACAGCAAAAAACTGGCAACAGCCCAATGTCCTAGAAATCTTTATTCAGCTTTTTTGCGTATCTGTTGCTGTAGTAGGTTTTCTGAGATATAATTCAATCTCTTTTTGGGGATTTCAATCAAGTTGAAAGGTTAATACACAGTAAAAAAATTAGGTAATAGGGGCTGTGGTACTAGTTTTAAATTTAAATAAGGGGAAGTTGAATGTAAACCAATGTAATTAGGATAGACTTTAGGAAGGAGATGGATTTTGAGTTAAATTTTGAAAAATAGGTTAATAATGTCAGGAAAAAGGAGAATATGTCTGATGAGGATAGACATGAGCAAAGAAAGATGGAAATAAACCAGGCATTTTGTTGCCACAAGGAGACATGACTAGTTTAGTGAAAAGAGGTCAAAATTTAGAGTCATACAGATGTAGATTTGAATGGCATATCCTTTCCTTACTAGCTCTGTGGGGCTTTGGACCAGTTTTTTTCTTCTCTTGATCCGAGTGTTCTCATGTATAAAAGTGCTAGCAGTACTGTAGGTGAAGTGCTGAATACTATGCCTAACACATAATAACCAAACAAAAGCCAGTTCCTTTCTTATGTTCCTTATTTACTGTCACTGCAGAATATGTAGAGTTTACATTGGAACATGGTGGAATCGACTTATTCCATAGGTAAGATTAGGTTAAATTATGGAAGGCCTAGGGAGAAAAATCAGAATTCAGGCATTTTTCAATCTTTTAAGGGTTTTTACAAAGCTTGTGATTTGCATTTTCCCTCAATATCTGTTGGATGTGAGAGTTCATTATAACATCGCTTGTTTTGTATACACTTGCATTTACAATGATGAGTTCCTTTAATTGTATTAATAATATATGTTTTTAAACTTAAAATCAAAGACATGTGACATTAGGCTTACCTAGTAAAGAGAAGAGGGATTCTGAAGTCAATTCCTGACTTGTGTGATTTGGGGAAATTTACAGAATTATTTTTGGGCTTTGGTCTTTGTCAGTTAAAAGTGTGTAATAATTTCCCCTTTAAGGGTTTTCATATAGATTAGGTAAGGTAGTAGATGTGACAAACATTTTATAAAATTTTAATGCTATACAAATGTTATTTTTAGCTATTACACTTAAGATGGGTGCTGAAAATGTGAAAAAAAAAAAAACTTAGAATAATTACTTATGGCAAAAATAACTGACTTAAAACCGTCACTTACTATAAGCATTTTGAATGGTAACATGGCTATATTAAATAGGCTTGTAACCTGTGTGTATTGGTTCTTTTATTGCTAATAAATAAATTCTATTTAATGGTTATTTCTTGAAAACAAAAACTGTGTGTTTTAAAATAGCTACAGTAGTACCTTCTGTGCTTTAATATCCTCTCTAATACAAGTACTAATTTTCAAGCAAATGAATATAGTAATAAATGATTTGTATGTTTTATATTCTCTTTTTCTTCCTTTAGGTCAATGAATACATTTTTGATAATTTATCTAGTAATTCTTATATCTGAAGCTGTCATCAGCACTATCTTGAAGTATACATGGCAAACTGAAGAAAAATGGGATGAACCTTGGTATAACCAAAAAACAGAACATCAAAGAAATAGCAGTAAGGTATTTTATGGTGTTACTGACTGTGTCATAAAGGAAACTATTATTTGGCACAGTTAGTGCTTTGGTAGCGACTTCTGATAGGAGAGACCACTATAATCCTAAAATCGTTGGTACTGAAGGGTGACAAAAATGGCATTGCAGATGCAGAGAAGCCAGCGTGTTTGTACTGATAGCTTTTTGTAGTTTACGGCATAAAAAGTTGTATTCCCTATGGCTTGACTTGAATAGTTCAAAGAGGTCACAAAATTTTAAATCCATCTATCTTTGCATTTCACATTAATAATACTACAAACTCAGTTTTCTCTTCCATTTACTATGTCTTATAAATGAATCAAAGAGTAAATGGATGTATTTTTTCATTTTGTCTTAATAATTCAAGGATGCTTATTATCAGTCTTAATATGAACTAATATACAAATTATGTCGTATGTTTTAAATTGATTAAACATGGACTACCAAGAGAATTTAACCTATAATTTTGGTAAATAATGGTTCTCCAAATTTCACTTTAGATTAAAATCTATGTATTGGAAGACAAATTTGGATCTCAAGAGACTATAAAGCAAATAATCACAGGGTCATATTTTTAATATCATTCACAGTTAGGTACATTTCCTTTCACAAATGCATGTTGAAATATGAAACCACTAAAGCCATTAAAATAGGCTATTCCTGTGTAATCTGTACTTAAGAGTTTTAATTTCTAGCACTTTTAGCCTCACAATTATTTTATAACTTTGTAAAGTTACACTCAACTTTTAGTAGTTATCTGATTTTGAAGGGTAATAGTAGAATGGGATAAGTACACTCCAGATATTATAATTTTGCCAAAGGTAGTTTCAGTCATACCAGGCTTTTTGTTAGCTTCTGAAAGTAACAAATTAACTTATTTGAATTTAACCTTTTCATCATTTACTTCATCAAGATTCTAATGAGCAATACAATAACCAGAGGAAATGTAATGTTAGACAATTCAATAAATGGATTTCAATTCATGAGACTATTTACCTCAGAATATAGTTGATAGTCTATGTAGACATGAAACTTTCTGGTAATTTTCATCAATAATACTGAAGAAATTCTAGTGTATTTTTTCTTATCAAACAATTATTTCCTTTTTTCTAGATTCTGAGGTTTATTTCAGACTTCCTTGCTTTTTTGGTTCTCTACAATTTCATCATTCCAATTTCATTATATGTGACAGTTGAAATGCAGAAATTTCTTGGATCATTTTTTATTGGCTGGGATCTTGATCTGTATCATGAAGAATCAGATCAGAAAGCTCAAGTCAATACTTCCGATCTGAACGAAGAGCTTGGACAGGTGAAAATGATCCTAATATTTTGTTTCTCTAATTTGTTATTGTTATCAAAGTAATACATGTGCAAAGATTAATTTAACAAGATATTATGACGCTTATACCTAAAACAACACTCCTTTGCTCCACTCCTAGCTGTTCCCAGTTTTTAAACCCTAAGTTGTTTCTTTTGTTATTTACCACTATATTTCTATTTGATATTCTTTCTTATTCTTGAGTTTTAGACATTATCTACTATGGAATATAAAGACATAGCTCTTACACTACTCTTCACACACACATACCCAGACACATATCCACTTTGCTTCTCCATAGCCCCCTAATATTATATCACAATTTGGGATTTAATAAATATTTTTATTAACATTATTATGATTGTTTTAATGTTCACTAATTCTCAGTTCTATAGGTGTGTTCTATAATACCATAATTACATTTCCCTTCTTATATATTTTGTTTTCCCAAGAGTTAATTGCTCTGGTTTTTCATTTCCTTAATTTCCATTTGCTACAAACAAGTCTCTGATAATATGTGCAGCATCTGTCTACATATTCAAACATATCAGGTAATCTAGGAGTTCCTTTCTTCCTCCCTGCCTTCCTTTTTTTTCTTTTTTTTTTTTTTGGTGACAGTGTTTTTGGAGGCTTCCACCTTTCTGCTTCAATTGGATTATTCTTTTATTCTTTCTGGGCTTGCTTCTCAGCTGTCACTCTGGACTTCCCTTTACCATCACCCTGGAAATTCCTTTACCTCTCTCCTGTTTTGGATCTCCTCTTTCTTGCATCCCATGTGCTTCCTACCTGTGGCTTATTGTCTTTTGGTGCTGTATATCTTCTAACAACTTCCTGAGAAAGGATGTGTGAGAGGAAAATGTTTTTAAACTTGACATATCTGAAAATATCTTTATTCTCTTTTCACACTTGATTAATAATTTAGCTGGTATTGCATTCCAGATTGAAATCTTCAGAAATTTTAAGGGATTTTATTGTTTTCTAGCCTCCAGTATTGCTGTTAGAGAAATCCAGTTCCATTCTGATTCCCAATTATTTATGTATGATCTGTTGTTTTATCTCTGGAAGCTTTAGGATCTCCTTATGCAATAGTTGTGAAATTCATGATGGTGTACCTTGGTGTTGGTTTTTCCTTTTTTATGTTTTGTTTCATTGGCAGTTAACTCTGTGAGTCTTTTCAGCCTAGAAACACATGTCCTTCAATTCTAGGAAATTTTCTTTTTTTTTTTTTTTTTTTTGATAACATGTCTTTCTGTGTTTCTCTTGTTTTGAAACTTAACTATTTGCATGTCATACCACTTATATTGACCCTTTAATTCTCTTCAATTTTCAGTTTTTATTTGTTTTTATAATTCTACTTTCTGGTAGAATGCCTCTGGTTTATCTTTTTAGTATCTTTAAATTTATTTCTGCTATAGTATTTTTAATTTCTAATATTTTGGTATTCTCTGGATAGTTTTTAAAAATTGCCTCTTATCCCGTTCCTTGAACACAATCTATTCTTGTACCTCCCCTAGTATATTAATGACAGTCAATTGAAGTCTTCTTCTGCCCCCTGTATTATCTTTGCTTGTAGTGCATTTTCCAGAACAGTGAGTTCTGCTATAATGTGATATATGCATTCCTAAAATTCACTGCATAATGCAAAATTGATTAGTTAAAGCCACAGGGTTTATGAGAGAATGGGATTGGGGTAGAACACAAAAACATTAATAATACTTTTTTTTTTTTTTTTTTTTTTTTTTGAGATAGAGTTTCACTCTTGTGGCCCAGGCTGGAGTGCAATGGCATAATCTCGGCTCACCACAACCTCCACCTCCCAGGTTCAAGTGATTCTCCTGCCTCAGCCTCCCGAGTAGCTAGGATTACTGGCATGCGCCACCACACCCGGCTAATTTTGTATTTTTAGTAGAGACGTGGTTTCTCCATATTGGTCAGGCTGGTCTCGAACTCCCAACCTCAGGTGATCCTCCCACCTCAGCCTCCCAAAGTGCTGGGATTACAGGCGTGAGCTACTGCACCCAGCCTAATAATACATTTTTTAAAAGATAGGAACCTAATAAAAGCAGCGCTTGCCAAATTGTTCATGAATACGCAAATACTGCAATAAATATGGCACTTATCTGGAAAAGACCTGAAGTTTGCCTGTGGAAGATAGGCATCAGAAGGGTTGTAGCTTATGTGTTACTGTGAAGTGTTAGAAGGAAGGTTATCTGAAATCAGAGGGAAGGTTGTAATACCAGACATGGATATAGCACATGGTGAACTGAGATAGCTAGTAACTGAGGTTTGGGCAAAATTTGAGCAAAGTTTTGATTACGCTTAGATTGTCCCTCATTTTATCAGTTGCATCGGGATAAATTTGTGTTTTTCAAGACAGTGTTACAGCAGAACTGATTATAATTTGTTTCAGATTCTACCTTTTATGTAAGGAGTGATCCTCAAATGGATGCTAATCTTTGGCTATCATTTCAAGTGTAAAAGTGCTCTGTCCGGGAGGCTGAGGTGAGTGGATGACTTGAGCCCAGGAAGTCGAGGCTGCAGTGAGCCGTGATCACACCACTGCACTCCAGCCTGGGCAACAGAATGAGACCCTGTCCGGGAGGCTGAGGTGAGAGGATGACTTGAGCCCAGGAAGTCGAGGCTGCAGTGAGCCGTGATCACACCACTGCACTCCAGCCTGGGCAACAGAATGAGACCCTGTCTCAAAAATAAATAAATAAATAAACAAACAAACAAACACGAAAGGCTGGGATCCCAGCACTTTGGGAGGCCAAGGGGGGTGGATCAGTTGAGCCCAGGAGTTCAAGACCAGCTTGGAGAACATGGCAAAACCCCATCTCTACAAAAAATAAAAAATTAGCTGGAATACAAAAATTAGCCGGGTGCAGTGGTGTGTGCCTATGGTTCCAGCTACCTGGGAGGGTAAGGTAGGAGAATCACTTGAGCCCAGGAGGTGGAGGTTGCAATGAGCCAAGATTGTGCCACTGCGCTCCAGCCTGGGCAACAAGAGTGAAACCCTGTCTATAAAAAAAAAAAAAAAAAAAAAAAACACTTATATGCTTATCAGAAGCTATTGATTCAGTGGGCCACACCTTAAGGTAATGGGCTGACAGGCCCAGCAGGTAATATTTCTGCTGCTTATGACTGCTAGAATTGGCCATTGGAAATCTGTTTTTAGTGTGCTGCCTTACTTCTGTGTTCGGCTGTCTGCGGAGACCAGATTCTGTCTGGTTCAGCTTACTAGCCTTCCAGCTGTTACTCCAATAAATGAGGGGCATTTTGAAGTTTGCAACTTTTAAAGAGATTTCAGAATTAAACTACTCCTGATAGCCTGTATTTTCAGCCTCATCCTGTACTCCCACATTCAGGGTTAGCTGGTAGGTCTGCTTCCTGAGAGTTTCTGAGAATGGGTTTCCTCATCGCTTGGGTTTCAGATTCTTAATTCTGGTAAATCAGTTACCACTCATTCATCTCCTTTTCCATCTTCCAAACTTGTGTCAGTCTTCCCTCTCATGTTGACTTTTTTACCATTTTTTTGTTCTTTTTCTATTTTTTTATCCTCATGGTGAAGTTTTAAGAGAACCAGAGGTAATTAAATGTGCTCAACCTATCATATTTAACCACAAGTTGATGCATTTATTTTTAGTAACATTTAGGAGGCCTTAATAGTTTATGTTAAATATTAATTAATGTCACATTTCTTTAATTATGTATTATATATTTAAGGCCTAAAGGCCCATTTTTACTTTTCTGAATAAATTTTTTCCAATCTACCTTTGACCTTTCTTTCTCAACTCTCTTCACCTCCTTTTTCCTTCATGATAGAATTTTTGTTTTTCTGGAACTCCACATTGTGTAGGCATACTCATGTCTGCTTTGTCTTTTTTGTTTGTTTGTTTGTTTGTTTTTGTTTTTGTTTTTGAGACGGAGTCTTCCTCTGTCACCCAGAATCTCGGCTCACTGCAACCACCACCTTCCAGGTTCAAGCGATTCTCTCGCCTTAGCCTCCCAACTAGCTGGGATTATAGGCGCTTGCCACCATGCCTGGCTAATTTTTGTATTTTTAGTAGAGACAGGGTTTTGCCATTTGGCCAGGCTGGTCTCAAACTCCTGACCTCAGGTGATCCGCCTGCCTCGACCTCCCAAAGTGCTGGGATTACAGGTGTGAGCCACCGCGCCCGGCCTGCTTTGTCTTTAAGAAGCTTCTGGTGATTATTTCTTTAATTACTGATTTTCTCAGCCTCTCTTTTTGCTTTTGAAACTACAAGTATTTCATGTATGTGTATTGCCTCTATTCGTATTTTGTCTTTATACCAATGAAATCTACTTTATTTCATACTCTTCTATGCTCTTTCATTTCCATATTATCCAAAAAACAACGCTTAGGAAGGTTTACAGTGGTGACCTATTTATCACCAAAGTTAAAAGATTAAACTTCTTGATTTTATATATATATATATTTTTTTAATCAAAATTAATTTATTTTATCCATCCCTACCATCTAATCTTTTTTCTAAAGAATCTTCCATGACTGATAGGTCAGTCTGTATTCTAGTATCTAGTAACCTGTGGAGTATTATTTCTGTTTGACTGCTAATGTATCTTATATATTTTCTTTATAACTCATCCCTCATTCTTTCTAATCTACACTTGTGGGTGTTTTTTAATTAACTTGCATGGGGTCTTTATATCTACCTTTAACTTCCAACTCAACATTGCTATAGATACTGGGCAACATTTAATATCAAATAGTAAAGATAAGGTATTCTAGCTCTTATTTCCAGTTTCACCATTTATTTGCTTTTTGACTTTAGGTAAGTTATTTAACTTACCTAAAGTAATTTTCTGCCAAATTTATCTCTGCCTTTCTTTCTGGATATCGATCTTTTTATCCTGAAATTTTGCTGAACTTATGTATTCTATTTTTTTTAGTGGATATTTTAGAATTTTCTATATACAAATTCATATGTGCAAATGGAGATCGTTTTCCAATCATGTTAACTTTTATTTCCCTTTTCTTGCCTAATTGTCATGGCTAAAACCTTAAGTACAATGTTGAGTAAAAGTGACAAAAGCAGTCTTATTCCTGATCTTAGGAAGACAGCATGCAGTCTCTCTCCATAAAGTATGATGTTAGCTGTGAGTTTTTTATAGATACCCTTTATCAGGCTGAGGAAGTTCCTTTTTATTCCAGTTTGTTGAATGCCTTTATCCTGAAGGGTATTGGATTTTTATCAAATGCTTTTTTCTGCACCTATTTTGGTGGTTATTTTATTAATAAAATGAAGGCCAGGTACCATTTTATTAATATGATGGATTACGTTAATTTTTTAAAATGTTGAATCAATCTTGCAATTCTGGGATAAATCCCACATATTTGTAGTATATAACCCTTTTTATATGTTTCTGGATTTGATTTGCATCTCTTTATAAGGGATGTTGGTCTGTAGCTTGTTTCTTTTCTTGTGATTGCTACATCCCTTTTTAAAGGACTTCTTTCTCAAGTCATTATTGCAATAATCAAATTTTCATGATGATCCTAGTTGGATCAAGACTTGACTATTACATCCTTCTTTTGTCATGGATGTACCTTCTTTTAAAGTAATTTTTCTGGAATTAGCCTCCAAAAGTAATGAAATAATTTGTCTTGCTTTTAAAAATATTTTTTTCTTTTACACATTCATTTTTTTCACTAAATTTGTTTTCTGTCCTCAGTTTCAACTTCTCTCTGTTTTAGACAATTCACACCTCTACCTTCTTGTATTGCAGTCGCTATCATTGTGTATTCCTATTCCCAGCCCTGCACTATTTCTCCTCACCCAGATACCCTTTCACATTCTTTGTTATTAAGCATCCTTTCTGCCTTGCTTTAGAGATAATTCTTGAGTCCTACTACTTAAAATACCTTAGCCAAGAAACAGAAAAGAAGCATTAATACCAAATTCTCGTCAATTCTAGAGATAGACATGTACATAAAAATGCCACAAACTTCAAAATCTATGTAGCTTTAAACTATTTTGTGTTACCCTGTTTTCTTTCCTTGTCATCTTTTTTTTTTTAATTGTGCTTGGATTATAAGAATCTCAGCATCCATATATCAATATTAATAGATAAACTTGACTTCAGGAGAGCAAGGACAGAGATTTTTTTCTTGCTTAACATAGGTCCGTGAACACAAAGGTTTATTTTCTTTTGTTTGCTGTCTCTATAGGTAGAGTACGTGTTTACAGATAAAACTGGTACACTGACAGAAAATGAGATGCAGTTTCGGGAATGTTCAATTAATGGCATGAAATACCAAGAAATCAATGGTAGACTTGTACCCGAAGGACCAACCCCAGACTCTTCAGAAGGAAACTTATCTTATCTTAGTAGTTTATCCCATCTTAACAACTTATCCCATCTTACAACCAGTTCCTCTTTCAGAACCAGTCCTGAAAATGAAACTGAACTGGTAAGTAATTTTTAAATTAATAAATAAGGGTTTCATATGAAATAATTCTCTGCAGTAGTTGATGAGTTTCAGGAAAAAAAGTTTGTGTCAGTAGAGCAAGGAATATATATTTGAAATTCATATCAGACAGTTTAACTTGTCTGCCTTAGCTCTTTGAGTATTTAAATGGAACATAGTTAAGAAAAGCCCTTACTGCCTTGAAGTGAAGAAGACTTTCTTTGAAAAATAGAGCTTAAACTTATTTAATACTTTTTGAGACCTCACTTCTTCTATAAAAAAGCGTTCCCCTCTACTTGCAATTTGGTTGTACCTCCTAAAAAGATGCTCACATGTCGAAGGGTCCTAAGCAAATGTGACATTTTACTTTTTGAAGGCAGAAACAACCAACTATTACTCAGGCAATCAAGGTTGTAGCACTCTTGTTCTAGATCTTAGAATTTCACCTCTGGTTTCCTAAATGGTATGTGGAAATGATATTTTTATCATGAATATGAATTACATTTTTACAGATTAAAGAACATGATCTCTTCTTTAAAGCAGTCAGTCTCTGTCACACTGTACAGATTAGCAATGTTCAGACTGACTGTATTGGTGATGGTCCCTGGCAATCCAACCTGGCACCCTCGCAGTTGGAGTACTATGCATCTTCACCAGATGAAAAGGCACTAGTAGAAGCTGCTGCAAGGTAATTTAGTCTGATTTCCAGATCTTCGGAAAAACACCATTCAAATAAATGCAACAATATTGGAATCATAATTTAAATTTTTCAAACATAAATTCATCATTTTAAGTTGTCAGAATTCATATAAATACATAAAAAGAGAAGTACAATTTAAATTTTAAATGACAATTTGAAGTCATTTTATTATCAAGCTTACATTCTTTTTTTTAAGATCTCTTTGAAAGTCTGATTACTATAAAAATCTGTGTAATAGAATTTATGAAAAATGCTTGTGTATATGTTGTACTACATCTACTCTGATCCTTCTAATCCTTCTAGTCCTTAAAAGTATATATGTGTGTATGTGTGTATATATTCTTTTATATATATAAAAGAATATAAGAATATATATAATACATATAAATGTGAATATATAATATATAAATGTGAATATATATAATATATAAATGTATATATAATATATATAAATGTGTGTGCGTCTGTGTGTGTGTATATATATATTTTTTTTTTTTGAGATGGAATCTCACTCTGTCACCCAGGCTGGAGTGCAGTGGCGTGATCTCAGCTCAGTGCAGCCTCTGGGGTTCAAGCCATTCTCCTGACTCAGACTCCTGAGTAGCTGGGACTACAGTCACAGGGCACCACACCTGGCTAATTTTTGTATTTTTAGTAGAGATTGAGTTTCACCATGTTAGCCAGACTGGTCTTGAATTCCTAAACTCAGGTGATCAACCAGCTTTGGCCTCCCAAAGTACTGGGATAACAGGCATGAGCCACCACTCCTGGCACCAAAGTAGTGATATTAAAAGGAAATATTTTTAAATGCATTTTAAACTTTGATTTTAAACGTTTTTATTCAAGTTAAGCTATAGTGACATTGTGAAATATGCAGTATTATTTCTTAAGTCTCACTTTTTTATCCTTATAATGTCCAGGATTGGTATTGTGTTTATCGGCAATTCTGAAGAAACTATGGAAGTTAAAACACTTGGAAAACTGGAACGGTAATTTTTTTCATATATTAGAATGTTCTCTGTGTTAAGTGTATATAGTATAGAATAGGAATCAGTAAACTGTGGCTCACAGGGCAAATCTGGCCTATTTTCTGTTTTTCTACAGCCCACAAATCACATTGCTTTTTTTGTTTGTTTGTTTGTTTGTTTCTGTGACAGAATCTTGCTCTGTCACCCAGGCTGGAGTGCAGTGGCACGATCTTGGCTCACTGCAGCCTCCATCTCCCAGGTTCAAGTGATGCTTGTGCCTCAGCCTCCCAAGTAGCTGGGATTACAGGCATGCACCACTATGCCTGGCTAATTTTTGTATTTTTAGGGGAAATGTTGACCAGTATGGTCTGGAACTCCTAGCCTCAAGAGATTCACCTACCTTGGCCACCCAAAGTGCTGCGATTACAGGCGTGATCCACCGCGCCTGGCCCACATTACATTTTTAAAGGGTTGTTTTAAAAAGAGGTAAAATATGCAACAGAGACCATATATGGCTGCAAAGCCTGAAATATTTACTCTCTGGCCCTTTACAGAAAAAGTTACTGAACTCTGCTCTAGAATGATGTTAACATTATATTGTATCTCATCATAGTTATAACAATAGTCTGCTTTGAATATTTCATCTATATTTTAGCTTAATGATTCTTGAATTTACTTGTATGTTTATTTTTAGTTGCTCCTGGGTAATGAGTTTTGTAGGTTTCTACTTAGTGAATAGAGAAAACTTTCCTGTGATTTTTATCTTTCAAACATGAAGGAACAGCTGTCTATATCTAGTTTTTCCATTCTTTGATAAATTAGTTCATGCTTAATATACTTACTCCTTTCATGGTTTTAGCAATTCTGATCATATGTCAATTCCAGCTGTGCTTTTCCAAACTATGCTTTTCCATACTAAATAGGGCCAATTCTTTGGCTACTTTTATGTGAGAGTCTGTCTAGCTTATTTCATCAACTTACAAACCATATTCAATCATTGTTTTTCTTTGAGATGTGTGAAGATATCATATGTAAATCACTGTGTAAGATTCATCTGGAATACTTTAAGCCACACCTCATGTAGCCACACAAATTCTCTTACAGCTCCCTAGAGAGGCACGAGGGAATGGACCCCTGCACACACACACCCAGGTTCACAGTCACTGCTATAATGAGCCTTTGATATTAATGTGTGTTGTGTTCGTCAGGTGTATTAGGACAGAAAAAAGCACTGAGAATCAGCTACCTTTTTCAGTCAGAAAAACATGGAGCTGGGCAGATGTGGATTCCAGTCTTTGCTCTGCCACTCACAAGCTTACGTGACTTTAGGCAAATTACTTAATCTTTCTGAGGTTAATAGTCCTCATCTATAAAAATGAGATAAGACCTACTTTCTTGGCTTCTCTTGGTTGTTAAACGACATAAGGTATATAAAATATATGGCATTTGGTAATTACTCAGTGTCAGTCTCTTCTATTTCTTCCCTGTTTTGTTATTAATGTCATGTAACCTATCATGAAAATGTGATTAATTCTTGTTCTAAATTAGCCATTTTATCTTATATATGGATTATTTCCATATAGTCACTTCATATTATTTAAAAAAAGTAAAGTTTTTGTCTTTCTTACTTTTCTTTAGGTACAAACTGCTTCATATTCTGGAATTTGATTCAGATCGTAGGAGAATGAGTGTAATTGTTCAGGCACCTTCAGGTAACCAGTCTAAACTTTCATGAATTTTTATTTATGTAATATTAAGAGTTTGATAACTCTTTTTTTTTTTTTTTTTGTCTGTAGGTGAGAAGTTATTATTTGCTAAAGGAGCTGAGTCATCAATTCTCCCTAAATGTATAGGCGGAGAAATAGAAAAAACCAGAATTCATGTAGATGAATTTGCTTTGGTGAGTGCAAATTTCTATGATTTAAAAAACTCTAAAAGATATATTTATGAAAGATTTCAGACTTTATTTCTTATAATTTATCAAAAATTATGGAAATTCTGCAGTTGTGTTACACTGTATGTTGGCTCCACATTCCTTTTATGAAAACCGACTTTTAATGCTTTTAACGCAAGCTAAAATATATCTTCTCTTCAAACCTATTCTACAGTCAGGGCATTTCTGGTTGCAAAGTCTACTCAAACTACACTATTTTAAAAGAGTGTTTATTAAACAAACATAGGGGAATCCTAATGATGTGGAGAAACTGGAACCCTTATACACATATTGCTGGTAGAATTATAAATGGTACAGCCACATTGAAAAATAATTTGGCTAAGTTCCTCAAAAGGTAAACATCGAGTTACTATGTGACACAGCAGTTCTACTCCTGGGTGTACACCCAAGACAGCTGAAAACATGTCCACAAAAAAACTTATACACGAATGTTCATAAGCAGCATTATTTCCAATAGCCACAAAAATGGAAAACCCAAATGTCCAACTAATGAGTGGATAGGCAAAATGTGGTATATCCATATAATGGAATATCGGTTGGCTGTTAAGAGGAATGAAGTACCGATGTATGCTACAACATGGATGAACCTTGAAAAGATTATGCTGAGTGAAAGAGGCCATAAAAAAGGCTATATATTAATAATACATTTATATGAAATATCCAGAATAGGCAAATTCACAGAGAAAGCTGATTACTGATTGCCAGGGGCTGGAGGAAGGAGAAAAAGGAGAGTACTCGTGGGAGCAATGAGATATTGTGGATTTAGATAGTGGTGATAATTGCACAACTCTGTGAATATGTGATAAAACACTGATTTGTACTATTTGAGAGGTGAATTTTATGGTATGTGAATTATATCTCTCTTATTTACAAAATTTAAAAATATAGGGGAATCTTATTAAAACAAAGAGCCATCATTCATGTAAATAACAAAATTATTTTGCAGTTCTCTCTCAGTCTTAGAACTTCATGGTCTCTCATTTTTGCATTTCTGTAAATGTATACTCCACACTCACCTCTGCTCATCTGCCTTCTTTAACAGTTTATGATTTTTTTCCCATTATTTGTTTCCTAATTGTTTATGTTCCAGTTTATCCACCACATTGTAACATCTGTGAGAACAAAGACATGGTTCTGCCTTATCACCATTTTAATATTTAAAATAATGATGGCACATAGTTCGTGCTTAGTATTTGTTATAGAATGAATTCGTGTATTAATAACAGATGGTTCTTTATCAACTGAAAGAAGCACATTTATAGGTATGGGTCATTTATAAGTCAGGGAATGGCAATGTTTAGAAATCTGCTAAATAGGGCTGGGCGCAGTGGCTCACGCCTATAATCCCAGCACTTTGGGAGGCCAAGGCTGGCAGATGACGAGGTCAGGAGATTGAGACCATCCTGGCTAACAGAGTGAAACCCCACCTGTAGTCCCAGCTACTTGGGAGGCTGAGGCAGGAGAATCGCTTGAACACAGGAGGCAGAAGTTGCAGTGAGCCAAGATCGCACCACTGCACTCCAGCCTGGGCAACAGAGCAAGACTCCGTCTCAAAAAAAAAAAAAGGGGGAAATCTGCTAAATAGTGTCATATAGTATTTTTAAGTCTATGCCTTCCAGGTTGTTGTTAGAATATTTATTATGGGGCTCAGCACAGTGGCTCACGCCTGTAGTCCCAGCACTTTGGGATGCTGAGGCAGTATCACTTGTGGCCAGGAGTTTGAGACCAGCCTGGGCAATGTAGCAAGACCCTGTCTCTACAAAAAAATAAAACATAGCCAGGCATGGTGGCACGTGTCTATAGACCTAGCTACTCAGGAGGCTGAGGCAGCAGGATCACTTGAGCCCAAGAGTTCAAGGCTATAGTAAGCCAAGATCATACCACTGCACCCCAGCCTAAGCAGCAGAGCAAGACCCTGTCTCTAAAAATAAAAAAGAATATTTATTATTGGTTTTCTTGAGGAAAATGCATGTAACAAGAAAAGGAACTTTTATAAGTCTTTAGATTTAGATATCAATTTTCAGAGATGAATACTATAAGAAAACTTTGAGCCTGGTAGAACCAGATAATCAATTCTGATTCCAATTCACTGGTAAAGATATATTCCTTAAAATCATTTATTTGATAAATCTAAAAAGTATTTTTTATAATGGCCATTTTATTGACTTGTTTATTTGAAAGGCAAATTATGTCATACAGTAAACCTTTAGGAGATTATGGTCTCCTTTGCTTTAGAAATTTTATGAAGTAGGTAAAAATGGAATTGTAAGTTAAAACAGGAAGGTAGAACCTGCAGCTGTCTCTCTCTCGACAGCCTTGAAGGTATTAAGAACTTTCTGGCTTTCCACGTAACACAGTTTAAAAAGCACTGATAGGATAGTCTTTATGATCTATTCTAGGCTCTAATATTCTACAATTCAGTGACCTTAATTATTTTCAGCAACTTTTTATTTTTTATTTTTTATTTTTTTGAGACAGAGTCTCACTCTTTCGCCCAGGCTGGAGTGCAGTGGTGCTCTCTCGGCTCACCTCCCGGGTTCGCGCCATTCTCCTGCCTCAGCCTCCTGAGCAGCTGGGACTACAGGCACCCACCACCATGCCCGGCTAATTTTTTGTATTTTTAGTAGAGATGGGGTTTCACCATGTTAGCCAGGATGGTCTCGATCTCCTGACCTCGTGTTCCACCCACCTCGGCCTCCCAAAGTGCTGGCATTATAGGCGTGAGCCACTGTGCCTGGTCTATTTTGAGCAACTTTTTACAAAAACATCAGAAGTTGAAAGATGCATATGTGTCCCATGACTCAGATCAGTAGGGCTTTGTGACACTATTTATTTCCTGTCACTAAGTGATGGTACTTTTTAAATGATTTGTGATTGACTTTTGGTACTTGGTCCTCAGTGTATTTTGATAGTGACTTCTTGATTTTCTGTTAGTTGTTTGTGTTCAATTTTTGTCTTTAATTTTTGTTTGTTTCAGAAAGGGCTAAGAACTCTGTGTATAGCATATAGAAAATTTACATCAAAAGAGTATGAGGAAATAGATAAACGCATATTTGAAGCCAGGACTGCCTTGCAGCAGCGGGAAGAGAAATTAGCAGATGTTTTTCAGTTCATAGAGAAAGACCTGATATTACTTGGAGCCACAGCAGTAGAAGACAGGTAAGTATCAGATAAGTAAACAATATTATTTTTCTCTCGTAAGAATTTTTGTAACCAAGTGTTCTAATATGTGGTATAAATTCTCTTTACTAACATCCTATGATAAATTAATATATTTAAGATCAAAATAGAGAACTAAATTCTTAATTTTTCCCAGTCAGTATGTACAATTTTTGTTCTAGCCAGATATCTGAAATAGATGAAAGAAACCAGCTCTCTATAGTTTTTTCTTATAGGCTTGAATCTTTAGAATACTCCTCAGTGTGTCATGCAAACACTTGAACCACCTGCTGAATTCTCCAGCCTTCCTTCCTACCACTGTCTCCTTCTGCTTTATGTTTCAACAATACCAAACTGTCTCTGCATGCCATCTGTAGCTAAAACTATTCTGTTTTGTGCCTATGTTGGCCTTCTTCCTGGGTGATTCTTCCCTTCACCATCCCTCTGTGACTACCTATTCATAAAGTATAGCTTAGATATTAGGTCCACTCCAGTAAGACCTTTCCTGACACCTAAGAGGATTAAAAATTCTCTTCTTTGTGAAGTCTCATTGTAGGTAGTTCTGTTGTTGTCTTTGTGGCACTATATTTTATTTATTTGTTTAAAGACTTCTCCTCTGTTAACCTGTGAAATCCTTGAAGTCCATTTATTCTTTGTCTTTGTTCCCAGCACCTATCTCAATGTCTGTTTCACAGTTTCTCAAATTTAGCTGAATTCTGAGATTGAATCCTGCAGATTAAGACTGTTGTTATGTTTACCTCCACCACCTAGACCTAAGGGTGTTTGCATATTTTTAAAATCTAAGTTTTCATTTACTTTTTGGTTGTCCTTACGAGATTTCTGAGACTCACCTGAAGTTAGCTAGACCTTTATTTTCTACAGTCTGATTTTTGAACTATATGAGTGGTTTGAGTTTTTTTTTAATCAAAATAAAAAGAGAAAAATCTTCTTTTTTGAAATGTAAGACTTCCTAATAAAACAGGAGTTTATGAAGAGCACATAGTTTCATCCTATAAATAGCAACTTTGAAGATACATTCTTAATATATGAAATTGTAGATTTGAATTGGTTGATTTTGTGTTAACCAATCTATTTATTCATGTTTCTTAATGAGAGGAAATTCCAGTTATATTGCTATGTTATGTAATAACATGCATAGGTCAAGGAGTTTAGAATTATCCTTAAATATACTATGTAGTTTAACTTAAAATACAGTCATAAAAGTATTCTCTACTACTAATTTGTTTCTTTTCAGACTACAAGATAAAGTTCGAGAAACTATTGAAGCATTGAGAATGGCTGGTATCAAAGTGTGGGTACTTACTGGAGATAAACATGAAACAGCTGTTAGTGTGAGTTTATCATGTGGCCATTTTCATAGAACCATGAACATCCTTGAACTTATAAACCAGAAATCAGACAGCGAATGTGCTGAACAGTTGAGGCAGCTTGCCAGAAGGTAAGAATATAGGTAACTGTATCGTACCTTTCAGGGGTTAGCAAACTGTGGTTCCCTGGGCCCGATGATATAGCCCACTGTCTCTGCCTGTTTTTTACAGCCTGTCAGCTAAAAGTAGTTTTTACATTTTTTGATAGTTGAATAGAAATCCAAAGAATAATAATATTTCAAGTGAAAAGTATATGAAATTCAAATTCCAGTGTCTATAAAGTTTGATTGGAACACACTTTCATTTGTTTACATATTATCAACGAGTGCTTTTACATTACAGCACCAGAATTGAGTAGTTGCAGCAGAGACTTTACAAAATACTTTTCTTCAACTTCACACTGCTGTTTGATACGCTGCAAATCACAGTGAGATACATATAATGTGATAGTGTTTGGAGTGCCATGCATAGCACCATATCGCGACATTTTACCATTTTTTATTGTCAGTATATGGCCATCATGTCAAAACAAGAAAAGAAAAGTGGACTTTTAACATTACACTTTTTTAAAAAATCACTGTGGATAGGGGATTATTTTATTTTTGAATTAGATGGCAAAGCATTATTTATTATGCATTGATATGTTAGCTGTGCTACCTGTTTGAAAAGACATTTTCAAAGATGAATTATAAATCTCATTACATACAGTTCTATCGTATTGAAATGTAAAAATCTCGTTACAGATAGGCATTAACAGATGAACATTTGCAATGTTAACTTTGAACCCCAGTTAAACAAAATATTATCCCTTGCCCAAAAGAAATATTTTCATTCCTCTCATTAGTAAACCTCTCTTATTTAAAAAATTATACTCAATGATCGCTACATCCTTAACTTAGTGAAAATTTTGTTGAGATTTTTTTCCTCTCATTCGATAACTACCTATATCCTCAATTTTGCCTCTTGGCCCACAAAACCTAAAATTGAAATATTTACTCTCTGGCCCATAACAGGAAACATTTGCCAACCCCTAATCTAGTTTACATGACCAAACTGGGAAATTAAGCTACATTTTACTGTTCAAGATTATTTCATAAGAATTTATACTCTAAATTCTGTCTTTTTTGTAAATCCATGCTTTATGGGCATATCAAAGTTTTGCCGCATATGGGGGCAAATGATGCCCCATTGAACACAGTCTAATTTTTCACAGTAAACTAGGGAGGGCTTCATTCGAGTCTCAGGGCTGCTTGCATGTAAGCGTGTTAGGTCTCCTGCGGGTTTCTGTTGTTTGCTGTCTTGTGATACTAATCCAGAAAAATAAACACAGAGAGACAATACCGTAGTTGTTAATATACATTCAGTGTTTTATATTTCTATTTTTTATGCAGGCATTTATGTGATACCAAAGTCTGGATTTCATCTTTTTAAAACCTATTTAAGAGACATTTTTAAAAGACCATACAGGGTTATTTTGTTGTTGTTGTTGTTTGTTTGTTTGTTCGTTTGTTTTCTGAGACAGAGTTTCACTCTTGTTGCCCAAGCTGGAGTGCAGTGGCGCACTGGGTTCACCACAACCTCCGCCTTCAGGGTTCAAGTGATTCTCCTGCCTCAGCCTCCTGAGTAGCTGGGATTACAGGCATGCATCACCATGCCTGGCTAATTTTGTATTTTTAGTAGAGACGGAGTTTCTCCATGTTGGTCAGGCTGGTCTTGAACACCCGACCTCAGGTGATCTGCCTGCCTCAGCCTCCCAGAGTGCTAGGATTATAGGTTATATTATATACAGGCCGCACCTGGCCTGTATAGGGCCTATTTAAAATATCTCTTAAATAGGGTCACACTGGATCTTTGAGTGCAAAAAGACAATTGATTTAGCTAATTATACTACAATTGGGGGACAATGTCAACAACATTGTGGCTCTTTAAACATTTAAATACTGCAATATCATGAACTCCCTAAAACACAGAAATTAATTGCTTAGAATCATTTACTTTATATATGCCTTTTTAAATACTTTTTCTGGCTGGGCACGGTGGCTCGTGCCTGTAATCCCAATACCCTGGGAGGCTGAGGTGGATCGCTTGAGCCCAGGAGTTTGAGATCAGCCTGGTCAATATAACAAGACCCTGTCCCCACAAAAAATTTAAAAATTATCCAGGTGTGTGGCGTGTACCTGTAGTCCCAGTTACTCTTGAAGCTGAGGCAAGAGGATCACTTGAGTCTAGAAGTTCAAGGCTACAGTGAACCGTGCTCTCACCTAAAAAATAAAAATAATTTTTAAAAAATTTTTCTGATTATAAAAATAATAAATATCTACTTAAAAAATGCTGAAAATTGTAAAGCTTATGCAGTGGTTAGTAACATAATAAAGTCATCAGAAGATTATTATTTGTAATTTAGGCTATTTAAGTCTTCTGTGTATAGGTGGTTTTAACGAATATGCTAATCATTAGTATTTGTTTTCTTTTTTGTACAAAAGCTGTATTATAAAATGAAGACTATACTCTTAAAGTGAATTTTAGGCTTGCCATCTTAGTCTGTTTGTGCTGCTGTAACAAAATACCTGAGACTAGGTAATTTATAAAGAACAGAAATTTATTTCTCACAATTCTGGAGGCTGGGAAGTTGAAGATCAAGGCACCAGCAAGTTGTATAGTGAGGGCTGCTCCCTGTTCCAAAATAGCGCCTTATTGCTGCATCCTTCTGAAGGGAGGATTGCTGTGTCCCCACATGGTGGAAGGGATGAAAGGCAAGAGAGGGCAAATCTCTGAAACCTCTTTTATCAGGGCATTAATCCCTTCATGAAGGCAAAGCCACTATGAGTTAATCACTTCCCGAAAGGCCCCGCTTCATAACAATGGGGGTTAACTCTCCACGTTAATTTTGGAAGGGATACGACATTCAAACCATAGCACTTGCTATGTGAAGTGTATGTTATATTTTAAAGATGCCTTTTGATGGAATACATTTTATGAGATAACCATAAAAGTCAATAGACCTATTCATTCACACTTTCAGGAAGTATCTAGTCTAAAAATCTTGATAAAAATCTTCTGTTGCACAAAGAATTTCGTACCTTTGAAAACTTTAGTATATATTTCCATTCTTTCACAAAGATATATTGTCACCTGTCTAGGCATTTGGAACAGAGACATAAGGTGTGTTGTTTACGCCCTGGATACTTACAGTGTGTGGGGAAAACAGAAAAGTAAATACACTGTCATAGTCCTATCCCTACAGAACTGTATCTGAGGCAAGAACAGAAGCTCTGGGAGGACAGAGGAGAGAAGCCTAGCCTAGACTAGGGGTACCAGGGAGAGCTCTGAACAACCAATGACTGTGTTGCCTCCTGTGGGGCCAAATGTTCACTGGACAGAGAGTGACACAAAGAAGCAAAGGGGAGGCTGGACACAGTGGCTCATAATCCTGATTTACAGGCACAGTGGCCAATAATCCCAGCACTTTGGGAGGCCAAGCCAGGCAGATCACTTGAGTCTAGAAGTTCAAGACCAGCCTGGGCAACATAGTGAAACCCCATCTCTACAAACAGTACAAAAATTAGACGTGTGTGGTGACACATACTTGTAGTCCCAGCTTCTTGGGAGGCTGAGGTGGGAGGATGGATTGAATCAGGGAGGTTAAGGCTGTAGTGAGTTGTGATCACACCACTGGGCTCCAACCTGGGTGACTGAGTTGCTGTGTCAGAAAAAGAAAGGCAGCAAAGGGGGCAGTGCATGCAGATTCCCAGAGCTGAGAGAGAGGAGGGCATATTCAAGGAAATAATTAGAAAGTATGGCCAGGGAGTGGTATAGATGGGACAGGGTATGAAGAGTAGTGATGCATGAGGGCTACAGAGATGTGTAAATGCTACCTATGTGCCAGAGATGTAGGTGCTTTTCCATATTTCTTAAATATTACTCCATGGATTGTAAGATCATAATGTGATTCATGAAGCCTGTCCAGAGGAAAACCTAATTGCATGTGCCTTGGGAACTTTTCCTAGGAAAACTAATCTCTGTCCCACTCTTGACTGCTAGCGTTTCTGAGGACTGTTGCTCAGGTAGTGCTTTGGACAGGCTGAAGACATTGGAGGCAGCACAAGTTGCCAAATAAAGTTTGGCCAATAGGGAAGAAAAGTAGTCTATATAGGTGTTGATTTCAGATATTGGAGAATTAGTAATAATGAGAAAAATACATTTTATAAAACTTTATGGTGTAAAGTGAATTGCTTTATAGCTATAGTACAACACAACAGTGATTAGGCATACTATGAAAGACATTGCTTTAACTTATGAAAGTTTCTTATTATAAGACTAAAATCTATCAATGTATGTTTAGCTTTTATACTTTGTGCTCATTTAATAGTCTTCTCACTTCTTATTTTTAATTGGAGGGATAGTTCTCAGCAGAGTCTGCTATTCTGTGAACCTTTGGTGCTTTTCTGTGGTGTATATAGCACAGTGCTGCACTGAGTACTGGTTTTCAACAACATAAAGGAGCTTACATCAAAATGTAAATCTGCGTATACTTCCTTCATCAAGAAAGTGTTATTACCAAAGAATTGCAGGGGGAAGCAGTTTAATAAAATAGTGTGCTTAGTGATTTTGTTGATTTACATTCTGGTGTAGGCTCCTTATCTCTTCCTGGCAACAAATAGTTTGCCCACCTTCCAGCAGTGAGACTGTACTTGGAGTAGCATATGCCCACATGTGAGGTGTTATCCATCTTCTACCACAGTAATATCTGGCATTACAATCCATCATCGGTTTCCTATTGCAAGACAGTACTCTTCCTTCATTCTTTTCTTTGCTTGTTATGCGTGTGGTGAATCTTGCTCATGGTTTTTCCTGAACATCCTTGATTTCATATAGTTTTTTAAATTTTAATTAGGATTTGCTGAATGTTAAAACAATGTTTTGATTTTTGTAAGACTTTTCATACAATTTGGGAGAATATCCTCAGATTATGTATTACAATTCACATTTTAGAAAATATAATTACTATACCTATATCAGTTCGTTGTAAAATTGAATATTAGGCGGGGCACAGTGGCTCACACCTGTAATCCCAGCACTTTGAGAGGCTGAGACAGGCGGATCGCTTGAGGTCAGGAGTTTGAGACCAGCCTGGGCAACATGGTGAAACCTCATCTCTACTAAAATAACAAAATTTAGCCAGTCATGGTGGCTCATGCATATAGTCCCAGATAGGAAGCTGAAGTGAGAGAATCACTTAAGCCCAGGAGCTCAGGGCTGCGGTTAGCTGCTATACTCCAGCCTGGGTGACAGAGCAAGACCCTGTTTCAAAAAAAAAGAAAAATTGAATATTATCGGTTTTACTCATTAGTGACTCAATTCTGCTTAATTTTAAACTTAAGATAATAAAACAGTTTGTTTCCTGACATAACAGTCTTATAACAGTAAAGGCTGTGGGTAAAAGATCCATCTTTCAGTAAGAATGTGTTGTTCTATATGAGTGTAAATAATACGGCTTCAAAGTATCTTACAGAGAATATAATTTTTTCTCTTTTAGAATTACAGAGGATCATGTGATTCAGCATGGGCTGGTAGTGGATGGGACCAGCCTATCTCTTGCACTCAGGGAGCATGAAAAATTATTTATGGAAGTTTGCAGAAATTGTTCAGCTGTATTATGCTGTCGTATGGCTCCACTGCAGAAAGCAAAAGTATGTATATGTGTTATAAAAAGTCCCTTAAAGCTATTTAGATATAAACATATTATTTAAAGTTAATACCTTACATAGTTCCATTTGGTGGTGTGCAATATATAAATTTTGCCAAGAGTCAGTCACATATTGTAAATTTTAACCATGCACATCAGACTTCTGGAATTCTTAGAGTGAGTTTCAACTATTCATAGTGACCCAGAAAACCTGTGATGAGTAGCAGTTTGTGATCTCGCAGAAATTAAACTGTGATAACTAATGTTTCCCAAGTTAGCTACTTAGCAAGTGAAGGAGCCTAGGAGACATCAGTTACTTGCACCTTTAGATGGTTCTGTTGATCTCCGTTTATTCTTGCATTCTCATGAAGTGATAATTCTCTGTTACTTTTGGCCATAAAGTGATAAATAGAGCTTTAGTGTAAAAAGTTGAAAAGCCAATTAACTTGTAATATAAAGCTTATATATAGGAAATATTTAAATTTTAGCTACCTATGTGATTCAAGTGAAAGCCTGTATAAACATTTTTTATAATTCTAAATTTGGAATTTGTGGTCTTAGACTATTTTTCACAAATATCCTTTGCAATGCACATCTGAATACTGATTATTTCCCATATAGGTCTAATAAATTAGACATCCAATTTTTCGGGCTTCACGGAATTTTGTTACAGTACCGATATTATGACAATTCATGTACCCCAGTCTGTGGAGACTAAAACTGGAGACCAAACAGAGCAAATACCCAGGTTCTTTGTAAAAGTACATTTAAGAATGCCAAAGAAACATTTCTTTTGAGTTCATTGAATTTAATCTTGATTGATTTTTTAAAATTCTTAAAATTGTATTGCAAGAGGAAACAATTGTCTTCTTTCATATCAAATGAAAAAATAATTTCTTAAAAACATTTGCCTAACAGTTCAATTAAGTGCAGTCTTTTTTTACACTATTAAGCCTTCTAAATATTTAAGCTATATTTAAAAGATTCTTGTTTCTCATCATAAAATCCAAAGATAATTCTGTTTTTGTTATAACATTTTTGAAAGACATTTCTAAAATCTTAGTGGAGACGCCCTCAAAAAAATGAACCTCAGTGCATATTATTGTCTAATAGAAAATTAAATATTTATTTCATTAGTGTTCTTACTAGAGTCATTTCAGATAAATGATTATATAAATGCAAGAAAATTGAAATTGTGTCATAAATAACTAATTCATTATGTCTTTCAGGTAATAAGACTAATAAAAATATCACCTGAGAAACCTATAACATTGGCTGTTGGTGATGGTGCTAATGACGTAAGCATGATACAAGAAGCCCATGTTGGCATAGGTGATTGATTTTTCCTGAAAAGTTTTTCCTGAACTTTTAAAGTTGGTGGTATTACTTGGTGGTTTTGAATTTTCTTTTTGTAGATTAAAGTGCGGTATCAAATTTGTGAATGAAAACTAAATGCAACATGGTAATAATATAGCACAGTGTGCCCCATCAGAAACTTACTATAATTAAGCCCACTGGTTAGTATATTTTCATTCCAAATTTTAGTTTCAGATTTTAAAGGAAATAAATACCACATTAGTGAATTTTATCTTTGCCAGTTCTTTTTCATAATAAAAGTAGCTTTATTTTTACATGCCATTTTGTACCTTTTAAAGTACTTTCACATGTTATTTTATCCTTTTTAAATTCTAAATTTGTGATTTACATAGTTGCACTTATAGTTCTTGTTTTAGAATCTTACTGTTAACTCCGTTTATTTGTGAATCTAAAGATCCTACAGTCCTTTTTAAAGATAATTATAAAGACAGGAAATTGCACCAAACTGCAATAAAAATATAAAATCTCAAGTAGTTTTCTCATTTTAATAACCTTTATCCTTATTCTTTTCTATTTTTGCCTAAAACTTTTACTAGATTCAGACTGCTAGTATCATTTCATTATATTTAATGTATTAATCCTTTCCTTTTTAGCCATAGAATCTTATTGTAGAAATACAGAGCAAAATGAAAAGTATGGGCATGGTATTTTTTATGGAAGGATAAAATTTGAGAGTTAAGCTAATTCCTGTTCTGGAATAGTCTCTATAATGTGCTGAATGGGTAGTTATCAGGTCTGATATTTTCTGTGTGCCTCTCAAATCAACTCCTTCCTCTTTCAGATAATTAACTCTTCATTTTGAAAACTTAATTGTCCTTCTAGTTTGTATACCGTTATTTTCTGTAAATCTTCATAGCAATTTGATGATAATTTCCTATACCATACATTTAAAGCCATAAAAAAAACTACAGTATTTATAACAGTTTGATTCTGTAATGATAACAGGCAGACCAGTGACTAGAATACATTCAAGCATCTGGAAGTTTAGAATATAACAAAGGAGATATTTCATATAAGTAGGAAACCAAATTATTTAGTAAAAAAATAAATGGATAAAACTGATTAGTGATTGGAAAAAAAAGAAAAGTTGAGTCTCTTTCTATTACTTATAACAAAACAAATTCAAGATGGATTAGGATTTAAATCACTTACAAAGACCCTAAAAAGTAATAGAAGAAAATTTAATGAATAATTCTGTTATTTGAGGTGTGGAAGAATCTTTTGAGGACAGCACCAAAGCAAGGAACTATAGTTAACTATAGGGAAAAGATCATGCAGAGGTAAAAGCTCCCAAAACAAATTTTAAAAACAAAGGACAAACTAGTAAAGAATATTTGTAAAATAGATGACAAAGTTTTAATAATCCTGGTCTACAAAGTGTTAACAAATTAATGAGAATAAGAAAAACATTCCAGTAGAAATAATGCGGAAGGATGTGAGCAATCAATTGTCACAAAAGGAGAAATCTAAAAAGAATACTAAACGTATGAAAAAAAAGTTTAGTTTCTCTAACATTCCGAGGAATGGAAGTTAAAATTTCCTATCAGATTGACATCCGTTATAAACATTGATAAACCTGGAGTTGGTAAAGGTATAGATTAACAAATGGTCTTATACAATGTTAGTGGGAACATAAATTGGTAAGCCCTGCATTATTATTCAAAACAAAATTTTAAATGTATGCCTATTGACATTGCAATTATGCATGCAGGAATTTCTTGTAGGAAAAAAAATTGAGCATGTTCATAAAGATATACATTACAAGTATACATTTTAAGCAGTGTCCGTCGTCTGTTAAGCAACAAAAACAAGTTGTAAAACAATCCTTTTTTTTTTTTTTTTTTGGTATAGAGCTTCGCTCTTATTTCCCAAGCTGGAGTGCAATAGCCCGATCTTGGCTCGTGGCACCTCCATCTCCTGGATTCAAGCGATTCTCTGGCCTCAGCCTCCTAAGTAGCTGGGATTACAGGTGCCCACCACCATGCCCAACTAATTTTTGTATTTTTGTAGAGATGGGGTTTCACCATTTTGGCCAGGCTTGTCTTGAACTCCTGACCTCAGGTGATCCACCTGCCTTGGCCTCCCAAAGTGCTGGGATCCTACAGACTTGAGCCACCGCACCCAGCCTGAGCCACATTTTATTGTATGTATGAAATACATACACACACAGACATGAAATAAGCAGAAAGAAAATTTCTAAAAGAATGCAGACTAAAAACGGGTTTTCTCTAGGGATTATGAATACAGTTTTTTTTTTTCATTGCTTATACATTTTGGAACACTTTCATCCTTTTGTGACAAAAGTTTTAGTTTTGAAAAATAGTTTTTAAAAGTTGCTTCTAGATTGAAAAATACAAACTTGGCAATGACTCTTCTTCTCTTTTGAAACCTTAAGGAATATTGTAACCATTAAAAAAGTATTCATATTTGTCAGATGAAATGATGCACTGATTTCAAATGATACTGTACATTTTAAAAAATTTATTTTAAATTCACATTTTCCTTTTAAAAAGCACACTTTGACTTATTCATGAAAGTGTTAAGCATGCTTATTTTGCTAATCTCAAATGACTCAATTTGAATATTTTTTATATTCATTGAAAATAGTGAAGTATTTAAGTATTTTACAGCATTCTGTCCATCAGAAGTCTGTTACCCAGTACTTGTGCTAATTAGTGTAATATTGATGTTCCTACTAAATCCTTAACTTTCACTAATACTTTTTATATTGTATTTTATCTTTTTATATTCTAATTCTTTGGAAATTGGTGTTATGTGTCTGATAAATATCGTAGCTTTATATTAATTACATATTCAAGTAGAACAACCTTTTGGACATCTGTTGTATATAGAATTTAAAGTTCCTAAGTGCATGTTCAACTAATATAAATAAGATATTTGCAGATTTATCATGAAAATTACACTTACCAGTTACCAGTGAACACATCTTTTGTCCCTTTTATTATAGGAATCATGGGTAAAGAAGGAAGACAGGCTGCAAGAAACAGTGACTATGCAATAGCCAGATTTAAATTCCTCTCCAAATTGCTTTTTGTTCATGGTCATTTTTATTATATTAGAATAGCTACCCTTGTACAGTATTTTTTTTATAAGGTGAGTTTCATGTATTTAGAACCAATTATTGATACAGTAATATGAAGTTTCAATTTAAGGAATGTTGTAACTGTATACATTTTTCTTTAAAATAGTTTCAATAAGTAAAAATAACAGTATTTTGTCATGAATCTATTCTATACTGACGGAAAGCAAATCAGTGGTTGCCTGTGGCCCACGGGTTCCGTGCAAATTGGAACACAGTACATTTGATATCTTTAAAGTTATTTTGTCCTGAACCAGCAATAAGTTTTAACACCAATATAATGGTTTCAAGTAGAGGTTTTTAGCCTTTTTTATGCCATGAATGACCCTTTAGTAGTCTAGTGAAATGTGTGAGCTCCTCAATATAGAGATTTTATGTGCATAAGGTAAAATACATAGGGTTACAAAGAAACAAATTATGTTGAAATACTGTCCTATCTTTGGGTCCTTTTGTATAAGGTGGGAGTCTGTAGAACCCACATTAAGAGTCCCTGTTACCGATATATTTAATAACACCAGAGTGTACTATGTTGCATATATTTCTATAATTGATAGCCACAATCCAGTGATAGAACATATGTAGATTGCATATTGCTCTAAGATGATGATGGCAGTTTTTTTCTAACTTATTTTTCTAGCTTTTACTTGTAATATGAGTATATTGAGATGGGAAGAAGTTTTGATAGTTTGATTTATTGTGTGTTTTAAACATTTTTGTGTTGTAAAGATATCATAGCCCTAAAGTTTAAGTAAGTCTTACTTATTGTACTATTATGAAAAGTATTGAGTAATAGTTTGAAGGTCGTAAATTCAAAATTATAGTATTGCTTGGCAATGAGAGGAGTCAAGGGTTTTTTCATTCTGATATCTGCACTGTTGCTTAGAATGTTTTTAGACATTTTTTGATAAAATGGGAATCCTGCATTCGTGTTATATATAGACAAGTCCTTATCCTTTACTTACCATACCAACTGAGATTGTTTTTGGATACTTTAAAGCCATTATTTTTATTTTTTATTTTGTCTTTTAGACCTAAATATTTTAATTATTTTCCATTTAATCTTGTTTTTCAGAATGTGTGCTTTATCACACCCCAGTTTTTGTATCAGTTCTACTGTTTGTTTTCTCAACAAGTAAGTAAATAGAAAGTTGTGTTTTGTGTTTTGTCCTTTTAGAGTAAGGTATTTATGTTCAGACTTTGATAGATGTTTGAAGGGACTTTTTTCATTTTTCTTAGTCCTGCAGGGAACCAGACAAAACTGTTTAGTATATTTAACCAGCATAATATTCATAATATTTATTTATTCTGGTTTTCAGTTTGAGGTGAGTGTTAATACCAAAATATAATTCTGGATGCTTTTAAAAATAGATAATAACCCTTAACAGCTTATGAGAGAATTTTGATCACTTATTTGTGATATTCCTGTAAAATCCAAATCAAGCCAGGCCAGATAACTTGGAGGTTCACCTCATTTTTATTTTGGTTTGAAATGTCTTGGATTTGGAAGGAGCAATAGTGATTTAGTCCAGGGATGACATATAGGTTTTATCTCAGAAATTCCCTTTAAATAATTGATGGGGCACCTAGAGTATATTGAAAAGGCTTCTAAAGCCGCAGGCTCAGAGGGAAAATGTAATTCGTTAGCAGTAGTTGTAATGGGCACAGGGTAGGTCTTTGTTTGCATGCATGTCACATACTTACTAGTCCTGATCTACTTTGTTTTAATTTCTAGAAAAGAAAAATGAAATCCACAGAAATTAAGTAACTTGCCTTGCTAACTTAATGACTAAACTATGACTTTGACCTACTGCTTCTGACTAATGTGGCAGGCACCCTTTTCACATACCATACTATACATCTCAAATTGATCAAGACATTAGTTCTAATTTATTGAAAAAAAAAAGAGCTTTATTATCTTAGGTTTTTCATGAGTTTTTCCTATTCTTAATTGCTGTTTTATCCTGTTTACAACCTGTAACTCTAAATTCCAAATATTTGTTTCGGCATTGATTACCAGTAAAAGTTTGTTTACCTGAATGAACTAAAGAATGTGTTAAGACAATATGACAGGGAAAACTGACCTATTTTGATTAGGTTTTCTGGAGAGTTTATAGTGTAATTTGGGAGGCAGTATTAATAACAATAAAAAATATGTAAAGCATAGGCAGAGTGCTAAGTGATTAGTACCAACAGTGGTACCTGTGACTGTTTAGAGGAGCAGGATATTGTTAAGGAGTTAAGCCATTGTTCAGAGTTTCATGGAATAAGATAGTCTTGTTCAGTGCCTTAAAGGAAGGGTAGGATGTAGAAAGGGAGACAAAGCCATGAAAGGTAAACTATATGTGTTGCATGTGGAACAAGTAGTAAGATGCCTGGAATACATGGAGAAGAATTATATAAAATTACTTCACAGTGATCAAATTGTGGAGAATCTTGAAATGTTTATCTAACTCACTGTAATTCCAGAAGCACCTGACATAGCAAAATATTCCAGTTCGCACAAAGAGTATCAACCTGGGAACATTATATGTTTATGTCAATATTAAAAACAAATTAGAATTATTTAATTGGAGTTACTAAAATGGATTTTAGTATAAATTTTTAAAACTGTTTAATTTTGTTTTTAATATGCATAGTTGTGATATATGCATAATAGTAATGCATAATTCAGAATCTCAACATTCCTACCAATTTCTCTTTCTAGACGTTGTATGATGGCGTGTACCTGACTTTATACAATATTTGTTTTACTTCCCTACCTATTCTGATATATAGTCTTTTGGAACAGCATGTAGACCCTCATGTGTTACAAAATAAACCTACTCTCTATCGGTAAGTGTTTTCTGGTATTAAATGGCCTTCTCAGTTTTTTTAAGTAAAAAATAAGCAGATTTATTTATGTCTTGGCGATTAATGCTTTCCTAAGGAAAGTTCTTCAGTTGTGGTATGATTTACAGTTGTTGAATATCAGAGAAAAAAGGTTTCTTTCAAAGACAAAATTTGAATTAATTTTTCCAGTGTTTTTTAAGAATGAGCACTTTCATCCTGGGAAAGCACCGGGCAGTTGTGTAATTTTCACTTACTGTTGCAACCAGTAACATTCTATTTCATGCGCACAAAAGAAGTTATTCATAATTGATAATCTCTAGAATTCCTAAAAGGTAGTGTTTTTTCTACTGTTAGCAAAATTTATGTAATAATTAGTGCAAAATCCAGAGGTGAGGACATTAATTCCCACCCCAGATTCTCTGCTTTATTCCTGCTTCCCCAGAACCAAGTAATCACAGAGATGTGACTGGGACCTGTTCCTCAGTACCAGCTATGGTATTCGCCATAAGCTATTACAGAGGTAGCTATTGAAGTATCACTTATAGAGGCATCTCATTATCTAGATTTGGATTCATTGACTTTGATTCCTCAGGTTATCTAGGACAGGGCTTGACCTAAGATTGGCATAGATTGTTCTTCCCATAATAGCTATTATTAGAAGGGAAGTTAGGAGCTTCAGTGCTGAACCTAACTCAGATAACCTCACTAAAAAGAGACCATTATGGCAGAGTGACTGAATGTTAACAGAAGAATATAATAACAGATAAATCAACTTTTCAAAATTAAAGTGAAGTGTTATGCCTATATCATAATTCTTTTTTTCTTTTTGAGACAGGATCTTGCTATGTCACCCAGGCTGGAGTGCAGTAGCAAGATCGTAGCTCACTGCAGCCTCAGTCTCCCAGGCTCAAGCAATCCTCCTGTCTTAACCTCTGGAGTAACTGGGATTACAGGCACACATCACCATGCCTGGCTAATTTTTTAAAATTTTTATTTATTAATTTTAGTAGAGACAAGGTTTTGCTGTGTTGCCCAGGCTGGTCTCAAACTCCTAGTCTTAGGTGACCCTCCTGCCTTGGCCTCCCAAAGTGTTGGGATTACAGGCGTGAGCCACCATGCCCAGCCTATCATATTTCTTTTTTTTTTTTTTCCTTTTGAGACGGAGTCTCGCTCTGTCGCTAGGCTGAGTGCAGTGGCGTGATCTGGGCTCACTGCAACCTCTGCCTCCCGGGTTGAAGCAAGTCTCCTGCCTCAGCCTCCCAAGTAGCTGAGACTACAGGTGTGTGCCACCACGCCCAACTAATTTTTGTATTTTTAGTAGAGATGGGATTTCACCATGTTGGCCAGGATGGTCTTGATCTCTTAACCTCGTGGTCCACCTGCCTTGACCTCCCAAAGTGCTGGGATTACAGGCATGAGCCATTGTGCCAAGTCTTCATATCTCTTTATCAAATGAAGAAATGTATTTGAATATATTATGTGAACTATAAGCTATTAAACAGATGTATGGTATTATAAGTAGTGGTTTGTAAATTTGGATTTACTTATTCTTTGTGCTAATATTTTCAAACAATTTTAAATTTAAAATACCTTGTTTTTTAATTATCAAATTATAGTAATTGTTTAGTAGGCAAATAATAAATGATCCCTAATGTGTTTCTTTTTCTCTTCTTCTTTTTAACAGAGACATTAGTAAAAACCGCCTCTTAAGTATTAAAACATTTCTTTATTGGACCATCCTGGGTTTCAGTCATGCCTTTATTTTCTTTTTTGGCTCCTATTTACTAATAGGGAAAGATACATCTCTGCTTGGAAATGGCCAGGTAAAGTATATAGTTTTTTTAAAGAATGGTTGTTAATATTTCATGGTTTTTTATAACTTTTGTCATAAAGTAAAATTTAAATTATAGAACTTCAAGTATTAAAATGCAAATATAAAAAGATTTAAATTTTGGGGGTTAAATAATAAAGTTTCGTACAAATGAAAATTACAGGCAATACAGTGTAATCTCAAAATGAAACTCAAGTTACTAGACAATTTTACTATTCAAAAATTAGCTCACACGGGATATGTTATTGCCCCTGCATGCTGTTCACCTTAGTATTGTGTTTTATTGATAGCTGCCATTTATTTGGTACTTACTTTTGTGCTAAGTACTTTATATGCTCTATCTCCATTAGTCCTCCCAATATACTTATTGGACTGGTATTATTACTCCCATTTTTCAGATGAGAAATGAAGACTTAGTGTTTGTTTGCTTTTAATTGCATTGTTTTTTGCCTAGGAAATGCTACCATACTCTTCATTGCACACTCACAATTCTCAATAGATGTCATAACTTACTGTTTAATTTGGCCACTTTTCTGAAGTATGAAATTAGGGAAGAGTGCATTTTCGACAGTACACTGTTACACTGTGTTCTCATTGGAGTGCTCATGTTGGGAGACTCTTGGCAGAGCTAGACCTCTCTTCCAAGGCTTAGCTAAATGGATTAGGAAGAAAAGAAATGACAGCAGTTGTAGGGACTCTGGTGGACTGGAAATGGTTGTCACTTTTAGTTTCCCTTTTCCATTCCCACCACTTAAGTGTTGCAAAATACGTTTGGAGATACAGACATACAGAATTTGAAACTGGAACACTATAAAGTTTTACCTGCTCAACAGATCTTTATTGAAGACAAGCCTTTCCCAAGTACTATACTAGGCTCTGGTAAGTAACTTGGTCATGGAGCTTAGAATCTTGAAAAGGATACAGAAAATGAGCAAGTAAACTAATAACAAAATACACCGGTGTAATAAAGGAAATGGATTTCAAATATAGAGGCCTTAACTCTGCAAAATCCCTTTATATTGTAGAATAGGGACATAAATATAATTGCCAGTTCACTTTTGAGGACATATTTAGACTGATGTGGATGAAAATATGAATCTTGTAGCATAAAGGTTACAGCACTTCCCAAATAATAACTACTTTTTGTTGAGTTTTTTTCTCTGTGCCTGGTACATTATGTGCATTTGCTCTTTAAATCATAACTCTGTATGAGAAAAATATCATTATTAATTTTGCATGTTAGAAAATTAACCTTAGAGAGGTTAAGAAACTTGCCTAAGTTCACACAGTAAGCAAATTACAGTAATAGAATTCAGACTCAGATCTATGTGACTTTAAAACCTACATGCTTAGTCATGATTCTCAATTCTTTTGAGAAACAACTGTTAACCTGGTGCCCTTCTGCACAGTCTTACCATCAGTGCAATTGCCATCAAATATATAGACATATGAATAAGTATGCACACTTCCACCCTAAATAGTGGAGTGAAAACCAGAGAAAATTAAGACGGGAGGAGAGTTAAGAAGGAGGAAATTTGGGTCTTCATCATTGGATGAAAAGGACATTAAAGATATCTTGTATTGCTAGTCACTACTTTTTTTAATTTTTAAAAGTAATAGGTACCCATTGTGATAAGTTTGAAGTTTGTAGGAAAAAGTATAAAGAAAATAAATCACCTGGTGGCCCTCTACCCAGATATTATTACTTTGTTATTTTTACATATTTGTTTCAATTCTTCCTTTTTGCTATTTTCATTAACCTCATAATTTGTATCCCTTCTTAACATTGTAGCCTAAGTGAATTTGTATGTTATTAAAAATGCTTCAAGAACATTTTTCATGATTACATAATACTCTATTACATTGTCATAATTTAAGTATTCCCTTAATTTGAGAATTTGTTTCTAATTTTTAGTAACTTTTTAAAATAAAATCTTGAACATTCTTTGTACAAAAGATAAAACCTTAGTGAAGGATAAATTGTTATTGGCCATTAGTATGAAAGCTTTTTTCTCTTTACTGTCTATTGAAATTAATCTGCCACTCCCTACCCCCAATACTAGGTACAGTAATAAAGAAGCACACGTTAGAATCAGAATTGGATTCATATCCTGGCATCTGTAGCTCTCGTTTGAGTGATTTGGGATGAGTTAACCTCTCTCAGACTCAGTTTTCTCACCTGTAAAAAGGCACATAATCTTCACCTTATAGATTTGCTGTGAGGATTAAATGACTTATTATTTGTAGAGCATTAAGCATAGTGGCTAGCATATAGAAGTATTCACTACATCTTAGCAGTGTTCATTGTTATTTTTACTATTAAATCATTATGTTGGAAGATCCTGTCCTACTCAATACCACCCGGTCTAATTCTCCCAGAAACTCTCTCTTAACTGTGAAAATCACCTTGCTGGCTCTCAGAATGCGCCATGCTACTCTCTAATTCTAAGACATTGCTTATGTTCCCTCTCTAGAATGCTCATGCTTCCTTTTCCCCAAGACTCTCTCACCACCACCTGTTCTTCACAGTTGAGCCCACAGACCCCTTTCCTTTTGGTCCAGCTCCCTCTTATGTGTCCCTGTGCTAAAAATCCTTTTAGACATCTATCTAGACCGCGTCTCATTGCTCAGCACTGAGTATGTTGAATGCTTCCTGTTTTCTAAACATTGTTGTAGCATGAGATATCAGTAAACAATTGAGGGCCTAGAGCAGACAAAGTTACTAGAGGGAAGTGCTGAGAGGAGTGACTGGAGGCAAAGATGAAGTCATTGCAAACAGGTGATCCTGGGAGAGGAGCAGGAGGAAGAGTTGCAATAGTTTGGGTTTAAGGGCAGAACGATTCAGAGAAAGTTAAGACTTTATCCCTTTTTTTTTTTTTTTTTGTATTAGGGTGTAGCAATTTTATATTAATTTTCAGCAAATACTTTTGAAGTATTCACTAGTTCTTAATTTCAGTTTAGCTTAGGAAAGAACTAGTCATTCTTCATGTATTTATCTCACATCTTTTTAACAGGCCTTTCTTTCCCTTAGTAAAGTATAAGTCTTGATCAGTTTTCTCTAAGAAGGCTCTTTACCTTCAGATCACTATAAAAAAGATACTCCTTTACTATCACTCCTTAATGAGTTGTCAGAGAACAAAAATATGTTAATAAGAAGGCTGAACTAGTGACTAATTTTTAGCTTTGTTTTTCTTCCTAAATGGTAGACGAGTTAAACTCTCACGGCTGGGCGTGGTGGCTCATGCCTGTAATCTCAGCACTTTGGGAGGCCGAGGCGGGCAGATCACCTGAGATCGGGAGTTCAAGACCAGCCGACCAACATGGAGAAACCGCATCTCTCCTAAAAATACAAAATTAGCCGGGAGTGGTGACACATGCCTGTAATCCCAGCTACCAGGGAGGCTGAGGCAGAAGAATCACTTGAACCTGGGAGACGGAGGTTGCTGTGAGCCGAGATCGGGCCACTGCACTCCATCCTGGGCAAAAAGAGCGAAACTCCGTCTCAAAAGCAAAAAAACAAACTCTCACATAAAATTTGCCTAGCCCTTATCCAAGCTTAAAGTAGTCACAGTATTTAAATATAAGTATTAGTTAAAAAGTGGGACTTGTCTTAACAATACAGTAGTATCATCTTACCATGGACATTTGTCAAGAAGTCGTAGATTAGTAATTTATTGAATATATTGAGTAATCTTTTCATTTTATTTTTTAAAGTTAAAAATAAGCTTAAGATTTCTTGTTTGTTTAGTTTTTTATTTATTTATTTATTTACATGATTAAGTTCTTTAGTGGTGATTTCTGAGATTTTGGTGCACCCATCACCCAAGCAGTGTACATTGTACCCAGTGTGTAGTATTTTATTCCTCATCCCCTCCCACCCCTTTCCCCGAGCCCCGAAAGTTCATTGTCTCATTCATATGCCTTTGCGTCCCCATAGCTTAGCTTCCACTTAACGGGTGAGAACACAAGATGTTTGGTCTTCTATTCCTGAGTTACTTCACTTAGAATAATGGTCTCCAATTCCATCCAGATTCCTGCGAATGCCATGATTTCATTCCTTTTTATGACTGAGTAGTATTCCATGGTATATACATATACCATATTTTCTTTTTCCACTCCTTAACCAATGGCCAGTTGGGCTGGTTCCCTATTTTTGCAATTGCAAATTGTGCTGCTATAAACATGGGGATGCAAATATCTTTTTTGTATAATGACTTCTTTTCCTCTGGGTAGATAGAGGGCGTGGGATTGCTGGATGAAATAGTAGTTCTACTTTCAGTTCTTTAAGGAATCTCCACACTTTTTTCCATAGTGGTTATACTAGTTTATATTCCCACCAACAGTGTAAAAGTGTTCCCTTTTCACCACGTCCACACCAACATCTATTATTTTTCTATTTTTTTATTATGACCATTCTTGCAGGAGTAAGGTGGTATCACATTGTGGTTTTGATTTGGATTTCCCAGATAGTGATGTTGAGCATTTTCTCATGTTCCTTGGTCATTTGTATATCTTCTTGTGAGAATTGTCCATTCATGTCCTTAGGCCCCTTTTTGATGAGATTGTCTTTTTCTTGCTGATCCTTTTGAGTTGCCTGTAGATTCTGGATATTAGTCCTTTGTCAGAAGTATAGATTGCGAAGATTTTCTCCCACTCTGCTTGTCTGTTTACTCTGCTGGTTATTTCTTTAGCAGTGCAGAAGCTTTTTAGGTTAATTAAGTCCCATCTATTTATCTTTGTTTTTGTGAGCCTAAGACTTTAAATTCTGTCTGTAATCTGGGTCAACTTTTTTGTAATTGTTTTTAAACAGGGCTTCTATAGAATACTATAGGTTTATGTTTGACAGTGGTAGATTTTTACTGTCCTGCTACCTTAAATTTTTAAGTAAATTTACTATTAAAGAAATGTACAATCATCATTTCTTACAATTTTGAAAAAGGTAAAATTATGTTATAAAATACTTATAAGAGATTTTGATGTAACTTTAAAAAT